TTTAGAGGTTAGTTGTTTCATACCCTGAGCCTTCTGGAGAGAAGTGTCTTGGAAATGAAGATGTATAGTTGGGATTTAAATTCTGGAGTCTCATTGATAACAGTAGCAAATGATGCTTTTAATTTCATGCAATCCTTCAAGGTTTTCAGAGTAATTGTTTCAATACACCTTGTGAGATGAGAAGGTTTTAACCCCATGTTAACCCTTTTTTGCAAAAGAGGAAATTGTGATATATGGGTGAGTAGGTTCTATAGGTTAGACCTTGGGATAGTCTTCACTGGGGAGTTGGTCCTGGGGCTGACAAGAGCAATATTCTGCTTCTGACAGACATTGGGACTTGCCATGGGATGGTTTCTTTGTGGCAAAAGCTAGGTCTTGAAGTCCAGCTTCTGTCTGAGGCAAGTATTCATCTCTCTGATACTGTTTTTTCATCTATAAAGCAGAGATGGTCAAACTGACTTTGTAGGGTTAAGTGAGATAATGCAGGTAGACTGTCTGCCACAATAGGTGCCTGGCAAGTGCAGCCCAGTCCCTCTGCTTCCCTGACCTTGTGATGATCAGTGTGGGGTACCTGACCTTAAGGGTGGATGCTTGCCTTGGTGATCTACCTATTATGACAGTGACTGGGGAAGGAAAGCTCTTGCTGTGATCCCACCGCAGTCTGCTGCCTTTCACATTGATGATTGAGAGGCAGCTCAGGATCTCATGAACCAAAACTTCAACTAAATTCAGAACCAACAGAAAAATCGACTGCTGAAATTCTGACCTCCCTTTCTTCCTACACTGGCCAGTGTTACACACACTTGATCCTGGATTGGCAGGAACCAGAAGCAGCTTCCTTACTAGCTGGGGGAAACTGAGGGCCAGAGGAAGTGACTCATCCAACACATACTTGACAAAGTTCAGATAGAATCAAGCTCCACCTGAGCCATTGAATCACTTTCCTACTGGGCTTCTCAAGAATGATGTTGTCTAGTCCTAACTTCTTTTGTTCCTTTCAGTTGGGAGGCAGTTGAGTTAATATTCTAGCTCACTGTTTTGAACTTCAGCCCACACCCCTCCAGCAAAATAATCAGCGTTTATGTAGCCCAAGTCAGGGAAAGAGAGGTCTTTGTTCAAATCATCCCACTGTACATTGGGAATCCAGATAGCACAGAAACCTGGCAAATAAGCTTTTAAGTTAATAGAGCTTATTTAATGACACCAAGAGTCTGTCTTTCCATAGAGCGTTTGATTTTTTTGGTTTCCTCTCTAGGGACCTCTGTGACTCATGTGCCTGAGGGCTTGCTGTTGGGAACTGAACCATCTTTCACAGTTGCTCAGTTCAGGGGCACAGACTTTCCTCTGGGGAGGGGGACAGCTCTTGGGTGAAGCCTTTCAGGAGAATACACTTGGTCTGAAGAGTTGAGGATAAATCAGTGTCTGCTCCACCAGGCTCCTAACTGGAGAGCCTGCCTGTAAGATGGAACTGGCTGAAGCACGTGTACTAGAGTGCACACGTTGGAGTGAGTGATGCCACTTTCAGAGTTGTTGATTCAGGAGGCTACACACATGCTGCATTGATATTCCCATTACTCAAAATGTGTGGCAAACAACCTCTAGGAATTTCCATCAGAGCCGGTTTTTCAGCCAAGTGAGAAAATTATTTTTGAGACTCTTTTTCTGTATCTCCATTTTTGGAGACTAAATGACATCCCCAAGCATGACCACCTACCCACCTCCTTTTTTTTTTTTAAGTGATTAGGATAACTTAGTTATTTCTAAAAGTCACACTCACCGTTGGAAGGAACTAAGAGTGCTTTACTCACATTGGGGAGATTCAAAAGAGCATCCTCTGAAGGCAGGTCTTATTATACGGCCAAGTGGACAGCTGCCTTGTGCTTTCTGAGAATCAGACTAGGGGTTGCCAGGTGATGGCTGAGTCTATTGCTTGAGTTGGGAGCTGTCTGTCCCTGCCCTGGGGGAGCCCCGATGTTGAAGACAAGTTTCTTGTTTGTAGCCACAACACAGTCTCCTGCTGGGACAGATTTAGTTTAGTCTTGAGTCACATCTCCTTAAAAGCTAGCTTTCTCTTCGTGGTGAGTGAGGTCTCTGTAGTATGAGGGATAAAGTTGTCTGTATGTATTTCTTCCTCCTCCTCTCACCCCTCGCTATACTGTGCCTCACTGATGTCCAATGTTTGGGCCATAACCAGTTCTTCTCCAGCTGAAATGTGTTCACAGTTGGCTCCCTAAGTGGTGGTAATACCCTCCTTCCTCACCTACCTGGCCTGCAGGTGTGTCATCTTCTTCCTCCACTATTGACTGGGAGGAAGCTCCCCATCCAGCTAGTATCCCAGAGGCTAGAGTAGCAAGGAGAAATGGCATTAATGCAGTAGGAATGATTAAGGAAGATTGGGCGATCTGCTTCTGTAATGATACCACCTTGGAAACCCAAGGAGGGGTCGCTATGACTCGGATCTGACTCGATGGCAGTGAGTTCGTTTTTTTTTTTTGCAGGGATGATTAAAGTTAGAGCTCAAGATTGTAAGCTGCCGAAATAGCAAAAGTGACTACGTGTCATGGAATTTCAGGGCTAATCCCAAATCCAGATAGCCTTTCTTTGTCCTATGGGTGGTGGTGGTGGCATATCTAGTTGATGGAATATTAAAATGATGTGGATGAGTTTAGAATAATAGGGAGGGAAAATGTTTATTGTTGTTGTTTGTTGTGAGGTGCCATTGAGTTGTCTCTGATTCACAGTGACCCTATATACAACAGAATGAAACTCTGCCCAGTCCTGTGCCAGCCTCACAGTCCTTGCCATATATGAGTCCATCGTTGCAGCCACTGTGTCAGTCCATCTCGTTGAGGGCCTTCCCATCTTGTGTTGACCTTCCACTTTACCAAGCATTATATCCTTCTCCAGTGAATGGTCCTTCTAACAACATGACCAAAACTACAATTTAAAAAAAATCAGGATGCAAAACTGTAAACACAGTATGATATGATCACAATTATGTAAAAACCAAAAAGCAATCCTTGTCCCTCTACTCTCTCTACCAAAAAAAGGCCAGGCATATGAAAAAGAATGTAAATAAACACACCACCTATTAAAAATGGTTCTCCTTTCAGCATTTTTCTTACATTTCTCAAATCTGCTATAATGAGCCTCTGTTAGTATCTTAAATGGGAGAGAATTAAACTTCCAAACAAACCCTTTTTATCATTGAACATCGTGTCCTGAATTTTAGTTCAGAGATACAGCCACCCTAGCAAGCAACCTGAGAATTCTTATTTGTCTCAACTTTTGGAAATCTTGAAAGTCAGGCAAGGCCAGGTGCCAGGAAGATGTTTGGGGCATAGTTTTGCCTGGAGGCAGGGGGTGGACAATGCAGCTGCTCAGAGCCCCTTCCCACCCCCTGTTGGCAATTATCTATCCACAGCACACAGCCTCTGCCAACAGTGAGCAGGCTGAGTGTGGTGACATTCTCGAGTGGGGAGCAGTAACAAAAGTCTGGCTGGGATGGAAGCCGGGGGCGGGGAATCTGGAGTGAGTGCCTGCGCTGATAAGGAGCTGGGATCTTTCTGCCTGGTAGGACTCGCACCTCCAGCTGCCAAGCACCCAGCACTACCCGGCCCCGTGGAGAGCTGCTGCCTGATACAGTGGTCCTGCTGCTGGCACAGCTCGGAGAGCATAGGAGTCCTGGTTACTTCTGCAAAGAGCTTCTCTAGAGTACAGGATGTTGGGGCTCTATCTTGGGGCCTGGGAAGGATCATTCGTCCTCTAAGCAGCAGTGACTTTTGAAGGAAGCAGCATATCTCTAAGGTGGGAACTAGGATTCCCCCCATAGCACCTCTCTAAAATGCAGCCTGGCCAAAAGACAGCCAGAGAGCTTTCTCCTCAGTAGTGTTCTGCCTGGATCCTCCGTCTGCACCTCCGGAAGGTCCTAGCTCAGGCCTCAGAATCATTCTCTCCAGTCTTCAAGCCAAGAGCCTCAGTTTGCTCAGTTCACTGCAGTTTGTACAATCTCCAAGTGCCTGGATCCTGCTGCCTGTCAGAATAGTGGACAATATCAGCTACAGAACTCTGGGACTCCTGCTTTGAGGAAGGCTTCCTGACTCTGGAGTCGGCAAGGTCTAGGAATCAAGCCTCAAGTTTTCAAGGCCAGGTATTAAATTTGTGTGGAGGCATTTGTTGCTGCTGCTGCTTTGAAAGACTACAAATGCTGGGCCTTTGTGGAGGCAGGTGAGAGGGCTTCCTATGGTATCTCTTGACTGCTGAGATGTTCCCAGAGGGCTGGCTTTGCCAGGGTGGGTTGGCAGTGGAAGCCGTATTACTGAGTTGCTGAGAGGGAAGCACTGAGGGGATCCCCTTTGGGGCCCATGGTATGCTTTATGACTACCCACTCTCCAGGCATAAGGGGTTAATATCTCCGATGGCTCTATTTTGGGGCAAATGGAGTGTTCTCAGAATAGGACTCTTTGTTGAGTAGTCTATTTTGGGAGGCAAGCCCCACTGGCGTTTATGTAAGCAATTCTCTGTGTGTATATGGGGGTGTGAATGTGTGCACAAGTGATTTCTTGTTACTAATTATAAACAGCTTCTTTTGGGAGCCAGAGAAATGGAGGGGTGTGTGTGTGTGTACGAGAGGGGTATTGATTGTTTTTGCTGTGAAAGGCAATGTGAGTATGTGTGCCCATTTGACTGGGCAGTCACCAGACACTGGAGTAAGAGACCAGTGTTGGGGCCTGAGGACAATAGGACAGGATGTTCCCTTTGTGGGGTGCCTGGCTGTGGAGGTGTGCCTGTCTGTGATCCTCTTGATTCCTTGCAGTATGTGGGCAGGCTGGATGTTATGGCCCTCCGGCTACAGTTTTGAATTGGGTTGTTTTCAGAAGATCAGACCTGGGTTCTTCTAGTGGCCAGCAACCAGTTCTAAGCTGTAACAAATCTCAGTCTCCACTTCCCACTCGGAAGCTTGGCATTTACTCCCTGGATCATCTTATGTCTCCCCACAGGCCAAATCCACATATGTCGAAGCAAGAGAGAAACCAAAGACCATCCAGCATGGTCAGTGAAACGTCCACAGCTGGGACCACTTCCACCTTAGAGGCCAGGCCTGGACCCAAGGTGAGCTCCTGGCCACTAGTTCTTTCCTTCCTTGCTTTTATATTTTGTCAAGCCATTTGGTGACCAGAAGCTCATTTGATCATTACAGTAGTTGAATGGGAGAAACACTTAATAAGAAATGTTCTCCCCAAGTGACAGATAAGTAAATCAAGTCTGAGAGGGTCGTGTCACTTGTCCAAGAAACCAGGTGATTGCTGACAGAGCCAAGACTGATATGTCCGTGCTTTGACACAGTCTCCGTTTTCTTGGTATCTGCAGGGAGGGCCACATCTCTGTTCATTGTGGATGTGTGTTAGAGACAGAGAGACCTGAGGAAGGGTGCCCTTGAGAAAGGGTCAGAGGTTTCTGTGTCCAGGATGTGGGAGCACTAACTGCGGAGCAGAGAAAAGAGCCACACTGTGGAGGAGGGAAGAGTGCTGAGATAGGAAGGCTGGAACCTAGATAAGGAGGGGTTAGCCTCTTAGAAGGAATGTCGAGAAATTTGTGACCAAAAAGTAGATTCATTCCAGAACTACATACAAAATATTAGCACCAACAGCTACTAGTGAAAGTTGAATGAAAACTCCCTTTATATTTTTTCTTCTGTGACCCAGATGGGAAGCTTTCTAGGTCTTGATCTTGCTTGTTAATTACAATGTTGTGACCATGTGCATGCCTGCTCCCTGTGTCGTGCTGTTCTTCTGATCAAAGGGTACTACTGCTTAGAGGAAGACAGAGGGAGCCCACAGCATTCTAACATACAAGTGCTTTTTTTTGTGCTTCTTTAAGTCTTCCTGCTGCTAGAGTTCAAGTCTGCTTTTTCCTAGATAATAAAGTCCAGCAATAAAGTCCACAGCTTTGGGAAGAGGGACCAGGCCATTCGGAGGAACCCCAATGTTCCAGTGGTCGTAAGGGGCTGGCTGCACAAGCAGGTGAGGAGGTTGAGGAGTGCAGGTGGTGGGAGAGATTGCCCTGCCGATTTCTTCCCTTACACTGGCCCCACAGCTTTTGTTCCTGAGTTTGTCTGAGGCAGGTGATTCTGCTTACTGTGCTGAGCAGAGTTCCCCACCCCCCACCCCCGTTAATTATGAGTGGACTATCTGCTCAGTGGCTCCAGCTTTCCTTCCAAAACCCACTGAACACCATCTCCTAGTGTCATTGACTGCCCTGGGACCCAGCCATAGTGTAGTGGGTCAGTGTGAACCCAGTTTTACTGCCAGTACTCTGCCAGGACTTGTCTTGCTGAAGTTAAGAGCCTTTGTTGTCATTCAGCTAAGAAATCACATCTTCCCTTTCCCCCTAGCCTACCACACATGCCTAACCCCTAGCACCTCAGCTTCCAAATCAGCCAAACTCAGTTCATTGTCTCTTCACTCCTTACCTCTCTCTTTCCTCCAGCCTACTCTTTCTGCATTTTGGTTAGTAGTACCCCTGTTCTCTCACTCAGTTTAGAAACCTCAGCACTATCACTAGCTCCTTCATCTCCCAGATCCATTCAGTCAGTAAGTCCTGTCACCTGTGTCTCCCAGATGTCATTGCTCATTTCTGTCCTCACTGCCAGTCGATCTGTTTCTGGTTCTCTGGTGATGGCTAGGCTGTGAGCTCCCAACACCAGAGACCATGTCTTTCATCTCCTTCCTTCCTTCCTTGCTGTTGATTCACTCACTCATTCAACTCACTTAATCAAATATTCATCAAATACCTGCCATGTTCCAGGTGTTTGCACTACATGTGTAAAAAGACAAATAAAATGTGATTTCTATTCTCAAGGAACTGACAGGCTAACAGAAACAGACAAACCTCTCAGATCCCCTATCACCCAGCCCAGTCTCAGTCATATCATCTGTAAAACACCAGGGCTTCAAACCTGTTCATTCTGGTTTGACCTCCTGCCGAGAATTTGCATTTTCACCCCAAATATTAGGAATCAAAATGTACATTTCAACAGGATCCTCAGGTATCATGTATACATAAGAATCGTCTGGGGATTTAGGGTAGGCGGGAGGGGGAAAGGGAAAGCTTTTGTTTTGTGGGCACTGAGTTTATGCTAATGGTGGTGGAATATTTTGGAAAAGGATAGCAAGAATGGTGACACAACATGAAAAATATCATCATTGTCCCTGAGCTGCAAATGTGGAAATTATTACATTGGTGAATGTCTTGGTATGTATGTTTTCACCACAATAAAATGAAATAAAATAAAAATCACCTGGGGATTTATAAGAAACACAAATCAAACTCTGAGAACGATGACAAATTTACAAATGATGTCAATTATCCTAAAGGCTTTGTGGAAAGGCAGAGGAGGACATTGCATTGCATATCTCACACAGGAATCCCTAAAAGTCCCTTAGAATTCTCTCTCCATTTCTACTCCCCATGGCATCTCCCACAGCTCTCTAGCCTCTTCTTCTAGATCCTACGTTGGTACCACCCTCTCTTGCTTATGCCCTCTTCCTTCATAGTTCTCTTCCCTCTGGGGTCTGCCCATCTATTTTCTTACATTGAGTACTTTAACCCTTTGACATCTTACATTTGCATCCCCACCCCTCAGTTAAGCAGAGGTGGTCTTTTGAAATGTGGGAGGGAGAGGGAAAGGATTGTAAATACTTATTGCTTTTTTCCCCTAATTCCCACCCTCTGGACCAACGGAGTATACTGTAACTGTAACAGAGGTGCATGTAGAGTGCTAGGGATACACAGCAGAGAGAATTCAGCTGTGTTGGGGAACCCCAGAAGGCTTCCAGAGAAAGTGATATGTGAACCAGCTGTGGAAGTGTGGGTGAGAGCAAAGCAAATATGTACCAAGACCTTAGAGGTTATCTAGTCCTTTTGCAGAAGACAAAACTGATAAATGTATAAATTCACCAAGTTGAATTTGTTTTCAACAATTTATAAGTGGAGAATGAACAAACCTCATGTTGTATTTAGGTTTAGAAACTGTCAGATGGTTTTTGTTTTAACTTTAAATCTGTTAAACTTCTGCAGAGAGGAAGACAATACATTTTAGCAGCTACCTCTAAAGCTAAAAATGCTCTGAGGTTCTCCTAGCTTTGGGAGAAAACTGACCCTAAAACATTGCTGTTTGCCTACACTGGCTATCCCCCACTCTCACCCTCACCCCCACCCCCACAATGATCTAAAAATATTTTTAGTAAATGTAAAGATTTACATTTCAGATGAGTAAAGATAAATCCTTGTTATTATGCAAGTTGATTGCAGGAGAATCCAAATCTCTTTACATTTAATGGAAGGAAAATACCACAGCTAAATCAGTCTTTTATGGTAAAGAACTAAGCTTGGTCAAATGAGAATTTGGCCTCAGTTGATTACCTAACTTAGACACTTTGTTCAATACTGTGTAAATTCAATTTTCTAATCAGCATAACTGAAGATATTTTACAGCATAGAACCTAAATAAAAAAAATATTCTATTTTGGTAAAAAGTTAATTCATTCCTTAATGAGAGACTTATATTTCTGAATTCACATTTTCCTTTCTAAAAGAAGGGAGCTTATAATATTTTAAACTGTTTCCAGGAGATTTAAAAAAAGAACCCCCAAAAACAATCTACTACTTCCTGGGATAAATCTTCATTGGATCTAAATTTTAATGTCCTATTCATTAACAGCCACACCTCGGAAGGAAGGTTGGGCCATCTACTTCCGTAGTGATACTGCCTCGGAAACCCAAGGAGGGGTCACTATGACTCCACGGCAAATAACAACAACATTCATTAATTGGGAGCTCTGGGAGCTCTGGTAGCATAGTGCCTAAGGCACTTGACTGCTAACCAGAAGGCTAGTGGTTCAAACCCACCAGCCGCTCCTCGGATGGAAGGTTGAGCAATCTACTTCCATAGTGATGTTGTTGTTGTTGTTTGCTGTGGAGTCGTACCCAACTCATAGTAACCCTTCCTTGGGTTTCCAAGGCAGTATCACTACAGAAATAGATTGCTCAACCTTCCTTCGGAGGAGTGGCTGGTGGGTTTGAATTGCCACCCTTCTGGTTAGCAGTCAAGTGCCTTAGGCACTGTGCTACCAGAGCTCCTTCTGTAATGATACTGCCTCGGAAACCCAAGGAGGTGTCGCTATGAGTCTATGAGTCGGATCTGACTCGACGGAAGTAGGATTTATTAATTCGTTGTAAGAAAGAGTGAATATAGATATGAATGGGCTCTGGAATCAGGTTGTTTGTGGTGAGAGAAGTAGAAGTATGCCAAGATGTTACCCTGACTAGTTCTCTTTTCTTTGCAGGATAGCTCTGGGATGAGGCTGTGGAAGAGGAGGTGGTTTGTACTTGCTGATTACTGCTTGTTTTACTATAAAGGTGAGCCGAGACTTGGGCAATCAAGGGCTCTTTGAGCTGGAGGGGGGCAAAAGGTGATTCAAAGCCAGTAATGGTACCGGTGGCTCAAGCTAATTGGTAATCTATTGCTCTGCTGCCATGTTCAGTTTTTCATATCATGTGGATGGGTGATGACTCCAGTTTTACCAGTTCTGCACAGGAAGGTCCATCTGTTGGGTTAAAATAAGTAGAATCTGGTTTGCCTGCTACTTAGGATCTCAAGATCTGGAGTCATCCTAGCTTCTGCTGCAGTTGGGGCACAGGCACACTTTTGAGGCTCTCTGGAGAGGTGGAAAGTATTAGTAAATCATTGTATTTTGTAGCTCATCATCTGTATTTATCCCCTAAGATACTAGATAGGAGCTAAATTAAATTGGCTATATGAGCATTTACTGCCTTGGAAACCTAGTGGGGGTTACCATGAGTTGGAATGAACTCAATGGCAGTGAGTTTCTTTTTTTTGGTTTTGAGTACATAAAATTAGGAGCTGTATGTACAATGGTAAGAAAGAAGTAATGCTCAAAATAGGAAGGAAGAGATAGGTTACTTTTAAGACAAAACTAGGCTATGGTTGTTTGTTGTTGTTGCTATGTGCCCTTGAGTCGGACCCAAAAGACATTCAAAGTGCTTAGGCAATTCAGGAGAATGAGAAGGTAATTCTATATTGGAGAATCTGATGAAGCCTCTTGGAGGAGGTAGGATCTGAGTTGGGCTTTTAAGGATAAGTAGAACTTTGGCCTGTGTGTTAGAGATATGCCACGCCATCTTGCGTGGCTCTTCTGGGTTCTTCTTCATTCCCTGCTGCCCCACCCAAGGTCATAAGTCAGTTAAAGGAAGTCGAAACTGAGCTTCCTGCAAGGCGCGAATTTTAAAAGGCAACATAGCTTCTGATAGGTTAAGACCCCTTCCCCCAGCTCTGACGTACAGCCTCCTAGCCCTGGGTCTATATAAGAACCCCCTCTCCCCTGCTTGCTCTCTTCTTCTCCTCTTCTTCTTCCTCTTCTTCTTCTTCCTCCTCTATCCTGCCTCAGCGCAGGCGCCCTTTCGCCTCTTTAAATAAAATTTCCTGTCGGGTACCCTGGTGTGTGGCATGATCATTGAGTACCAGTGGAGCTCTAACACTGTGCTGGGGGAAGATGGGCATTATAAACAGGAACTTCGAGTAAAGTTCTAGAAGCAGGAGAAGGTCGTTCCACAGTGGCTGTAGTGAGTCTTACATGGAGGATATACTACAAGATAAGGCCCATGAGGTGAGTAAGGGCCAAAATACAGCCAGACAGTGTAAGTTGAGTCTCCTTCTGTACCCAGTGGGGATCAGCACATGCATTTGAGCAACAGAACCAACTCTGTCCTTAGGAAATTACTTCTGGTAATGAAAATAGTTTGTAGGAAGGAGGGAATAGAGGTAAAGTCTAGGATTTTTCATGGATACTGTAATTTTGTCTATGAGTTTTGGTATACCTGGAATTCCTTTCCTCATCCTTTAAAGCACAACTTAAACATCATCCTTAAAGTTTTCTAAGCTTCTCTAGACTGTGTACCACTCCTCCCTCTGTGTCCCCACAGCCTTTGGTACATTGCTATTTCATATCAACAACAACAATATGTTTACACAAGGAGCTCTGGTAGCATAGTGCCTAAGGCACTTGACTGCTAACCACAAGGCTGGAGGTTCAGACCCACCAGCCACTCCTCAGAAGGAAGGTTGGGCAATCCCGTAGGTAGTGATTGCTACATAGGGGTTGCTCTGAGTCATGAGTCAGGTCTGACTGGAAGGCATCTAACAACAACAACAAATATGTTTGCACACCTGTCTCTGCCCTTGGGGAGAAGGCTGTGTCTGATTCACCTTGGTAGTACCAACATTAGCATAAAGATCCCCAGGGGATGTCTGAATACGTGATCAGTTAAAAGCTGATTGCAATAGTCCTGGAAGAGATAAGGAGCCCTGCACCCCAGCACTAATGGCAAAGGTCAACAAGACAGAAAATAACAAATGTTGGTGAGGATGTGGAGAGATTGGGACTCTCATACACTGCTGGTGGGACTGTAAAATGATACAACCACTGTGGAAAGCAGTATAGTGATTCCTTAAAAAGCTGGAATTAGAAATACCATTTGACCCAGCAATTCCATTACTAGGTATATATCCTGTTCTGGGTACCTAGTGCCGCACTGACGTGAATATACCAAAAATGGGATGGCCTTAACAAACAGGAGTTTATTGTCTTACAGTTTGGAGGCTTTAAGTCCAAGTTCAAAGTGCCAGCCTCTAGGGGCTGGGTGAAAGCCCCTCAACCTTGGGATCCAGCTCTGCCTTCTGCTCCCGGCCCACTGGAGCTAAAGGCATTTCTTCACTCAGACAGCTGCCAGCTGCTGAGGCTGAGAAACCCCAAGGTTGACAAGTAAAAAGGGCACAGTTCCGATGTTACCAAACCACATGGCAGGCCATTAAACTTAAGTCCATTGAAGTCCCAAGGTCAGCAGAGCATAGCAGGCTGCTGAGCAAGGACATGGCTACATGCAGAGTCCAAGCATACCATAGGCTAGAGACCATTCTCAAAGCTTCTCCTTATATACAGGAAGCAGACCACATACCCAAAGGCAGCTACTCAGCTGCTCATAGTAGATTCCACCATGGAGTTGATTACCAGTCTCATCATGGGGAATACTACATCCAGCTGCCCAGCCACTCAACCAGGCCCAGCCAAGTTGACACGCAAACATAACTACCACATATCCTAAAGAAGTGAGAGCCAGGACAAGAACAGGTATATGCACACCCATGTTCATTGCAGCACTATTGACAATAGCAAAAAGATGGAAAAAACCTAGGTGCCCATCAATAGAAGAATGAGTAACCAGACTATGGTACATACATACAATGGAATACTATGCAACCCTAAAGAATAATGTAGAATCTGCAAAACACTGCATAACATGGATGAACTTGGAGGACATTATGCTAAGTGAAATAAGTCAATCACAGAAGGACAAATATTGTATTAGTTCATTATTGTAAAAAGTCAAGGAAAGGTTTATACGTGGAAGAAAACTTTCTTTTGTTGGTTACCAAGGGTGGAAGGTAAGAGGAGGGAACACTCAAAAAAAAAAAAAAAAAGCATTGATCCATATCATTTTATTCACTTTAGTTTTGTGTATTTCACTGTATCTAAATCACATTTCAATAAAATGTATTTTTTTAAAAAAAAAAAGAGTGATAAGGAGCTCTGAACTAGGGCAATGGGATGGACTAGCCCAGGGAAGGTGCCATAGAAGGTTGTTCTGATGTGTTTTTCCATTCAAAGACAGCCGAGAAGAAGCGGTCCTTGGGAGCATTCCTCTGCCCAGCTACGTGGTCTCACCTGTGGCCCCTGAGGATCGCATAAGTCGCAAGTATTCCTTTAAGGTACTGCCCCTTCTCCTGAAGAACATCAATTCTATTGAAGAAACTTCATGTTATCAAAAATGGCTTTATTAAAAAAAAAAAAAAAAAAAAAAGTATTTTGGGATGGGGAAGGAAGGTAAGAAGCTAGAGTGTTTCAGACTCATAATAACAAACTTTTAAGTTATTTAAATAATAATATCACATCACAAGTACTTTTGTTTGTATCTGAGGTTTTGAAATCCCCAGCCTTGCTCAAGTATTTAGACCCCTCTTTTCCTGTTGCTACTAGTCTTGTAAGGAGCTCTTCTGATTACATATCTAACACAGGCCTTCTTGTGCTTTCTTATCACCTTAATAAGTCAGCCTCACTATTATCCAATCCTTCAGGGCAAATGATGTTCTGTCATAATTGGATTATATAAATTATTTTATGAATATGTACATTGATGGTCAGGGGCTTCATGTTGACAAGATTGTCATGTTTGTCCATTTTGTTTCTCTTATTGAAAAGCTGTTATTTGGTCTATTTTTTGTATCACTTCAGATTCCCAGGGAAATCCCTTCACCAGTGTAACCCCTTTTCTACTTGGTTACTATGGCATTTGGGGTGAGTGGGGGCATGATAATTGATGGCAGTCCTATGATGCCCTCTGACACCTGGGAGACCTTGTGTGGAGGCTCCTGGAAAGTGATGGTTAGGAGCAAACTCGGTGAGTCTTGAGGCCGCCTCCATTGAGGGTTCTATAGATTGCTTCACGGCTGGTGCTTTTGGGCCCCTCAGGGGTGGTGAAGGTGGGATGGAATGAAGATCCACTTTACTGGCAGTTGGAGTAGAAGTCCCAGAGACCACTGAAGCAAGCAGTTCTTGAAGATAGTACCCACTGCCACTGAGTTGATTGCTACTCACAGTGCCCCTATAGGACAGGGTAGAACTACCCCATAGGATTTCCAAGCCTGTAAATCTTTACAGAAGCAAACTGCTTTATCTTTGTCTTGTGGAGTGACTGGTGGTTAGCTGACCTTTTGGTTAGAATCTGAATGCTTTAACCATTGCACCATCAGAGCTCCCACAGGGAAACACCTTCTCAAGCTGGTCGGGAAACAAGGCAATGACATTTATTTCATTTATCTCATGTTGCTTTTGGCTGCTCCTCCACTGAGGGTACTAGACCAGTACTAGGCAGTAGATACTAAAGCACAGGTTGAACAGAAGCCAAGTTTTCCAGCTACAGTTAGTTAAAAGGACCATGGCAATGTGCAGGATAAGAAACAATCTCTCTGCAGCAGTTGACAGAAAGTGTCTTGGTTCTCTAGTGCTGCTATAACAGAAATACAACAAGTGGATGGCTTTAACAAACAGAAATTTATTCTCTTATGGTTTAGGAGGCTGAAATCCTAATTCAGAATGCCAGCTCTAGGGGAAGACTAGGCTGGAAATCTGAGTTCAGAGTGCCAGCTCTAGGGGCTGGGTAGAGGCCCCTTAACTTTGTGCTTCAGCTCTGCCTTCAGGCCCACTGGCTGATAGGCTTCGAAGACAATCCCAAGATCGACAGGCAGTATAAGCAGGCCACTGGTTCAAGTCCAGGAACTGAAGGTGAAGGCTGAACCAAATGTAGTATCCTTTTTCTATATACTGGAAGCAGGCCATACCTTGAAGGCAACTTTCTTTCAACTGATTAACTGCTCACAGCAGATTCCACCGTGGAGATGATTACACAATGTCCATCATGGGGAAAACTACATGTAGCTGTCAAGCCACTCAAAATCATGGCCCAAACAAGTTGACACACAATCTTAACTACCACAGTCTGCTTCTGTAACACCCATGGCATCAGCTGTTCATACTCAGTCTACAAAAGGCTTTTTGATTATCTGCATCTGCATTGTAATCTGGAGTCCATGGTGGTGGTGGTAGTTGGAAAAGGCAGGATCATCTTTCTTTTGCATTTCCTTCCTAAGGGAGCTCAGAATTGAGCTGTTGCTTCATTTGTGTTCATTGACAGGTTTGAGTCATTCTTTCTCTCTTTCTTGAACATCACTATCCCCAGTGCCTGCAGAGTTGCTGTGGGTTGGAGATTCTCGGATCATCTCCCACTTTATGTTATATAGTATAGTATTGCCTTATATCTGTAAAGCCATTTATGACTTGGGAAATATTTTTATACATGTTACCTCATTTAATCCCTGTGGGGACCTTGTGAGGTTAATACTATTAGATGCATTTTATAGATTAGGAATCTGAGGATCAGTGAGCTTGAGAGACTTTCCCAAGGCACAAAGCTGGGAGATGTGACAAGACTTGACCCTGAATTTTGCCTTCTTTCATTTCCATTACAGGGAAGGGTAGCAATTTTTCTCTCTGCTTTTTCTTCCATATCTTATTTTGGTCACTTCTTGCATACACACTGCAAGAGGTTGGAGGTGATTTGAATTAATCCTATTGTTATTATTTAAATAATCCTCTTCTTTTTGATAGCTCTGGAGCCTCCTCTGCTATTGCTGGCTCTGAAGACATTTTGTTCAATGGGCTTCGGAATGGTCTTTTGCCACCTGAAAGTCTTCCTCAGAAAACCTTCTTTCTAGGATTGAGCATTGGGTAATGATGTGTGTGATTTTTTTTTTTTTTGGGGGGGGCGGAGGGCAGCATTTGGAATATCTTCAAAGTAACTTATCATGGCTATATATATTTCATCTTAACACTTCATTGGGAGGTGTGAAAATAGATTCTAGGAAACATCCTTTATATATGTCTTATTACAATTTTTCTTTTTACTTTTAATATTTTTCTTAGAAAGAATTCATCAAGAGTGTTGCCTAAATATTTGGTCTGTGAGACAGAAGGCATGCATCTGTTTTGGGGTATTTGGGACATTCAGGGTCTGAGAGGAGAGAAAAGCAACTGCTGACAGATCTGGTGGTGTTCAGCTGGGCTTCTTGAAAGGACTCTGGTTTACTGAGTGAGGAAGAGTTACTTTTCTCTTCCAATTGCAGCATCAGTCTTTTTAGGAGCCAGAGGGTTGGGGTGGGGGTTGGGGGCAGCTCAGGATACATGTTCTTGGGCACACTGAGAAATACACAGTGTTTTGTGTCCTGAGTCTTGTACCTGCTTCTGAAGTCAGATCATGTTTGTATCCAGGGTTAAAATTCTCTGAATGCTACTGGGGCACCTTGCCTGAAATTATTCAGAGTAAGATCCATAGTGGTAGATAACTTGAAAGGTTATGTAGTCCTCTTGTGACTGTTTTCCTGTGTCCACAGCCTGGCAACACCAAGGCGTTACCAGGAAACCTAGGTGCAAGGTGGGCCCTGAGACACAGGCAAGTCTGCAGGATGAGCCAAGCAGAGTTCTTGGTGGCATCTAAAAGCCATTCTGGCCTGCCTTGACCAGTATGCCTTTAATGCTTAGCTGGCTCACTTGGAGGGCCTTCCGGCAGAACGCATCCTAGATGCACAGCCTCTCTCGGCCATCAGGCCTCTGAGCAAGCTTTGGCCCTCCCTTGCTTCTGGGGATCTAGGGTCCACAGCAGAAAACATCCCCACAGAGCCACTGGTCTAAAGATCTTCAAATGGGGGGAAAGGTTTTTACTGCCTCCCCTTCAGCCATTCTCTCTCTCTTTTAGACCAAGGTTGCTAACCTGGGGTCTATAAACCTGCAGAAGTCTGCAGATAAATCACATCTTTATGTTTTTAACCTCTAACTGAACTATAACATTTCCTTCCATTGAGAAAAGGCCATAACAGGTATTACCAGTACCTGTGACTTTGTCACCAATAAAAACTAGATATTTTCATATCGCATTACAATTGTTGGTCCTCAGTTGTTGCAAATGTCTTGAAATACCTACCATTTATACCCATCACCACTTTGAAAGTATGGTGATTATTACATCTGGCACTAGATTTGTTATGTAATAAATTACTAAAGTGACACCTATATTACTATATCACCATTGAAATATTTTGATAGCTATATTTCAATGTCATCTGTTTTCCATATTTTATTTTTGTACTTAGAAACATTCTGAGAAGGGTTCATGGACTTCACCAGGCTGTCAAAGAGATGCATGCCACAAAAAAGAGATCCAAGTTTTAGAGTCTGGCTGAAGGCCAGCAAAGAGACTTGGTTTTTCACTTATTTGTATTTAACAAACATTAATTGAACAATGCTATTCCACTTGTCAGTATTATAGATGCTGAGGCTACAGCAGTGAAAAAGACAAAGTCCTTGCCTTGGTGGGGCCTATATGCTGAAGTTTGTGTCAGCTTGTGTGTTATTAGAGAGTAAGAACAGAACAGGAGAAAGCTACCTTTTCTTCTCCCCCACCTTGTGAGTCACCTCGAGCCCTTTCAGTTTTATTCTTTGTGTATGTCTCAAATCCATTTTCTTCTCTCCATTGTTGCTGCCACTGTTCTATCCATGCCACCATCATCCCTCTAGATAACTTGGTGCTAGAACAGTGCCCAGCATCTAGGACTATGGTTTTGTAAGTATTGGCTGCCACTGCTACAGCCTCCTTAACTGCTCTGCAGCTTCCAGTCCATCCTTCATACTGTTTCTAAAATGCTTATCTGTTCAGGTTGTGCTATCTTTTGCTTCAGGATAAAGCCCAAGCTTGGTTTGCAAGGCCTCAGTTTTTCTCTCCAGCCATGTTTCTAGGCACCCTCCTCTCATACCTTCCCTCCAGCCATATGCAGTTGCCTGAAGGCCCAGGACATTTCTTACTGTTAGGCCTTTGCTGGAGCTTCAGCCAAGTCTTCATTTTCCTACTTGCTGTGCTCAGGAGTCACCTCCTTCTAGAAGCCTTCCCTAAGCACCCCCTGGACACGTTAGGTACCTTTTTGTGTATTTCTGTGAGACCTGTCTTACTGCATTGTAGGTGGTTGATTTAGTCATCCAGAGCTTTTATCAGGAAAGCTTGCTCACTGTTCTGCCTGGGTAGATGGGCTAGTCGTCATGTATATAAGAGTCACTTGGAGTCAGTCACAGTGCTTTCATACCAAAGTGCTGCTTCCACTTCCAAAGTTATGGTGGGTCAAGTTTACTTGTATTTCATATTTGGTCCTCTATAAATTAGTATTGGGGAAGGGGGAGATCCTTTTAAGTTTCTGTAAAGCTCATTTGGCCAGCCTCCTTAGGTTGCTCAAGTTACTGCACCTGTAGTAACATCAGCTAACATCTCTTGAGCCTTACAAATACCAGACTGTGTTCTAAACACTGCATGTGCATCTCATTTCATCCTCATGTGACCCTGCTACCCACAGTCCCATTTTAAAGATGAGGAAACAGACATGGGGAGATTGAACAACTCGCCCTAGATTACCTGGTAGATAAGATGTCCATATTGGATCTCAGTTAACTTCAAGTTTTTACCCAGTTCACTGTGCTGCTTGTATCAGCCACAAGGTTAGAGGTAGAGAGTCCTTTCTTTTTCTCAACAAATGGGCACTGCTGCCTTTGTAAGCTGTAAACCTGAGAGTCTTAGCCTTGGCACTTGCTGTCCTCTCACCTCCCATATCTGGTCCATCACCAAGTCCTGTTGACATTACCTGCTTGTTCTCTCCAGATTCCATCCACCCTTCTTTGTCTCCACCACCATCTCTCATTCGTACTCTTATAGTGGACTCCTGACTGATCTCCCCTTATCTGCTCCTTCCCACTCTAACTTTTCTCCACACCACAGCCAGAGTGATCTTTCCAAACAAAATCCAATCACGTCACTTCCTAGCTTAAAATCCTTTAAATTCTTATTGCCTTTCAAATGGAGACAAAACTCTAGCATGACCAGAAAGGCTCCAATGATCTGGCCTTGCCAGATCTGACCCTGCAACTTTGGTAGCCTCGTTTTTATGCCACTCTCCCCTCAGGTTCTCTGTCTCAGTCACACTGGCCTCAGCCTGAAACACACTGTGCTCCTTTATGCCCTCATGGGGCCACTGCATATCCCCTCCCTACTGCTGCTTCTTAAATACCTTCTTATCATGTAGAATGCAGCAGTTTAAATGTTATTCTTCAGGCAAGTCCTTCTCCAACTAGACCAGGTTCCCCTGTTATCCTCTCTCACAGCAAACTGAACTTCTTGATAATACTTACTACAATTATGTAGTTTCCATGGTCTTTCTTTTTCTATTTGGCCAAAGACTTGTTGTTGTTGTTGTTTGCCATCGAGTCAGCCCCGACTCATAGAGACCCCTCCTTGGGTTTCCGAGGCAGTATCATTACGGAAGTAGGATTGCCCAACCTTCCTTCCGAGGAATGGTTGGTGGGTTTGAACCGCCAGCCTTCTGGTGAGCAGTCAAGTGCCTTAGGCACTAGCTACCAGAGCTCCCTGGCCAAAGACTATATGACCCTATATAAGGCAATCTCCCTAACTTCTAACATACTGGTTTTCACATAGCAAACATTTAATACGTGATAATTTATTGTTGAACAGTTAGAGAATGAGTGCCAGTGAGTTGATGGTCTCTGGCCTTTTGAGCCACTTGGTTTTCTCTGTTCTAAAGGCTGATATTGAGGGCTTGAGTTGTGAAGATTCTAGGATTCTTGGATCAGCTTTGAATCAAGCATGAGTTTTAAGAGCAGTCATACCCTAAGGGCATTCTGTTTTTGATGTAAATTCTTTTTGCTTCCATCCTTGTTTCCTTTAAGCATTACCTGGTTTCTTTTCAATCATGCAGAGTTGTCTACCTGCATGGGATAGTGTTTTTTGGAAAGAGAAGAGCATCTTTGAGATGGGACTAGACCAGGAAAGAGAAGACCTTGGTTCTAACATCTTCCTTGGCCTCAGGGCACTTTGGACATGTGTTACTTGCCCAGATGAAGAGAAGATACCCCTTCCCCTCTTTTCTTTCTTATAATTTTGGTACAAATATATATAACAAAATATTTTACATTTTTACATGATACAGTTCAGTGACATTAATTATGTTCATCATGTAGTTGCAAACCATCCCCATTGTTCATTTCCAGTTTTTTCCATTATACTTAACAGAAACTCAGTACCCCCCCTAAGCACTGACTCCCCCTTTCTACCTCCCTCCCAGCCCTTTTAACCACTGATCTATTTTCTGTCTTTATGTATTTGCCTATTCTAGATATTTCAAATAAGTGGGATATAATAATTGTCCCTTTGTGACTAACTTTTTTCATTTAGCATATGCTGTCGAGGTTCATCCATGTTGTAGCATTTATCAGGATTGCATTTCTTTTTATGGCTGAATAATATTCCATCATATGTATATACCACATTTTATTTATCTGCTTATCTGTTTATGAACATTTGAGTTATTTCTACATTTTGGTTATTGTACATAGTGCTGTAATGAACATTAGTGTACAGGTTTCTGTTTGAGTTGTTGCTTTCAAGTCTTTTGGGTATTTATCTAGGAGTGGAATTGCTGGATCATATGGTAATTCCATGTTTAACTTTTTGGGGAACTACCAAGCAGCTATCCACCATTGCTGTACCATATTACAATTGTACCAGTAATGGATGAGGGATACCACCCCCACCCTTCTCATGTTCACAGTTACTATATCTAATATAGGAGCTCTGGTAGCGTAGTGCCTAAGGCACTTGACTGCTAACCAGAAGGCTGGCGGTTCAAACCTACCAGCCACTCCTCAGAAGGAAGGTTGGGCAAACTACTTCCGTAGTGATACTGCCTCGGAAACCCAAGGAGGGGTTGCTATGAGTTGGATCTGACTCGACAGCACATAACAACAACAACAACATATCTAATATGTCCAAGCATAAGAATAATGTAGTTGAGAACCTGCTCTTCAGAACCAAGAGCAGCTGGGCACAGCACATGCTGACATTTTATTAGTGAATAAAATTACATTTGCTATTGTGTGTAACTTCTTTGTAATAATGGATGTCACTGCCAAGGCCCATTTGCAGACAGATAAGGACGTATGTGCCTGCATGTTTAGAGTGTGTTCCGTGATTTGTGTAGCAGAGACCTACTCTCTCTATCATACCCTTGAAGACTCTCTATGCTTGTGGGTGGTTTTTTATCTTGTGGAGTGAGTACCTGTCCCAGAATCCTCTGTGTCTGAGTGGAAAGGCTGGAAGGGGGGTATCAGAGATCTAATGGGGTCATTATCCTGGAGAACTTTTCCAAGAATGTCTGCAGATTCCCGGAAGACATGTACAAATCTCTTCTCGTTCCATTCTCATTGCCATATCTCCACCATACTAAAATAGGAGGAATCCTTCCTGAGACAGTGGATGACCCCTTATACAATAAGGAAAGAAATCAGGTTTGCTTTAGCCTCTGTAGGTACCCTTAGCTTTGC